GGGGGGTTCCACAAGATAGGCCCCAAAAATAAAACTCGTAATCTTCTCTAAAATGGCTCAAATGATGTTCATATTTCATGTATTTACGAAGACTACAGTCCTAAATATACCGATCACAGTGGCCGCGCGGTCTAAGGCATGAACCGTCTTCGCCCGCTCCAACACTGGAATCGTGGGTTCGAATCTCATTCGAGGCATGGATGTCTGTGTGCGTTTATTCTGTGCCTCTGTTGTTCTGTGTGTATGTAGCGGCCTTACGATGTGCTGATCCCCCGTCCAAGGAGTCCTACCGATTGTGTACAGATTAAGAAACTGAAAAAGCGGCCAAGGTCCAACTGTAGAGACACAGACAGATGGTCCTAAATATAACAGCACAGGTGATACGTAATTTCAGGTAGATAACGGTAGGTAAACTAGGGGTCTACATTTTTACGTAAAGCATACACATCTGTGCTTGCATAATCGTCGGCCATCAAGGCTCTACCGAGGAACAATCGATTCCGTTTCCAAGGTAACGCAGTGAAGGTCAATCTTATGTGTGAAATCAAGTGCAATACGTTTGAGCCGATTTTCTTTTTGTCGCTGCTATTGTTGTTATTGGTACAGTAATTTTCAGTATCAAATCAACATCATTGTTGTTTCTTTACTGCCCAGGGATGTCGGGTCAGTACTGATAACTCTAGACGAGACAGTAGCAGCAACTGATAAGAGAAATCCCCACAAACGTCCTCTAAGACATCTGAAACACGATTTATTTAAGTCTGTTATGAATCTCCTTAGCTTCATACTTACAGCATACACTGACACACGGACACCACTTCTACAACCCAGCCCATGCTAACACAAGTACACTTCCTGGCCTCACGGGGGCACACAATCCCCCTTCTCATGAAGTGAGGGGGGGGGGCTTTACTGAAACCTGGCATAGGCCCAGTTCTTAGTACTGCAATTGCTGTCTCTTTGAAACGTGTGATATGTTAATGACCGACATGGAAGGAGAAGGAATGAGATCTGTGAGCTTCGCGTTAGGTAAATGAGCCTTGATAGCTCAGTCGGTATAGCGATGGGCTACGTGCTGGACGGTAGGGGTTCGATTCCCGTTAGGGTCAAAATTCTTCTCTTCTCCACAGTGTTCAGACAGGCTCTGGGCCCACCCAGCATCTTAGCCAATCGGTACTGGGTCCTTTTCCTCGGGGTAAAGTGGGCAAGGCGTGAAACTGACCACTCACCTCCATCTAGTTCTGAGGTAAAAAATTATGGAGCCATACCTTCACTCCCCCACTTCTTCATGGCATGCATAATGCCTAGATAATTATGCACAGGGATCATTTTATCTTAATTGCATAATTTGTAAAAAAAAAAAAAAGTAAACAAGCGCTTTTCGTATTTAAGGTTATCATGGCGGTCCGTATGAGATGTACTTCTAGCATGTGACGTCATATGAACTTACGTATACGTTCGGGGAAATAGGAAAGGTAAGCAGTAAGGGTAATTAAATGTCAATTAAGTATATAAACATGCCAAACAAGGGTAAAGGATTTTATGTAAGCCTAAAGGTGCTGTAACGCTATTTGGTAACTATAGACAGGGGTTGGATCAGTAATTGGATTTACTGAACTCTTACAACTTGTAACTGCAAGTAATGATTACGCCCTTTCACACTTCACAAATCACTACAGGACACTCTAGGTCAGTCCTGTTCAACGCGGCGCCCGCGGTATATTTTTCTCGCGCCCTCCGTCAGCACATATAATTGAGCCGATTTTTAATATTANGTGTGGTGGCGCCCGCACCTCCATAGGCATCAGTGAATTGTGCCCGAGTACATAAGAACGTTGGACAGCAGTTGGAAGTCGCTACCGAGCAACGGCTAGTGAAGACTAGTGAAGACTAGAGTCTAGGTCTTCTCAGTCTGTTTCAGTCTTCACTAGCCGTTGCTCGGTAACAGCTTCCATCAGCAGACGTTCCCCTTCCTCTGGCTTCCCGAACTGTTCTAGGCCTCAGCTACCAGCTTCTCACAGCGACTGAACCACAGATTCAAAGTCAGAGATACTTTATGACTGGCGGTTTACCGCTAATCATTTCGTCTTGCCGCAATGCCCCTTGAGGCTCACGATCAGAGATTTTTTTGTCACTGAACCCTTGCGATCACAGTCCTTACGTAAAATCCTCTCTGATGAAAAGATGGGTTTGTCTCTTATGTACTACATCTCACAATATGTCTCAACAGCACTGAGACCTCGCTGCAGCTTTCTGAAACACATCCTTCTTTACGGTCTGCCGCATATATACAGGTGTCATCAGCAAAGAGACCTAGAGAGTCAGCAGGCGTTTTTGTATATAGACTGTACAGAGTGCGGGACAGGACAGAACCTTGTGGAACCCCTGCCTGTATATCCCTTGGCGTAGATATTTCACCGTCGACCGAGACTGAATTTTCTGTGAGAAAGAATAGAGCTAAGAATCTTGATTGTAGTGGTCGAAGGTGACCAAGGTGCCACGTTTTATCAAAGGCGTTTTCAATATCCCAGAATACCACAACCGTAGACATGCTATTGTTAAAAATTCTAAGGCAGAGTCAGGGTTACTTTACGACTGAAAGGCCGCGCCATAGCTCAAGCGGTTAGTCGCTGGCTTCCCACCGCGGCGGCCCGGGTTCGATCCCGGGGGGTCTGCTCAAGTGGGATTTGTGGTAGACAAAGTGGCGCTGGGATAGGTTTTCTCCGAGTACTTCGGTTTCCGTTGCCAATCTTCATACCACCAATTGCTTCACAATCACCCTCACCTATCATCTGGGGCTGGTACAATAGGCCGAAGTGGCCGCAGTACAAGGGACTTAGTCCCACCCCACTAGAAACAAAAAAAAATACTTTACGACGGGCGGTTACTGCTGTATCCCCTTGTTTCAGTTGAAACATACTTGTTTGCGGAGCCGTCACTTAGCTACGGCTATTGTATAGTTATTTATTTCGCGTTCATTGCCTAGGAACGGATCTCTACATGCCACAGTATCTTTTCGATGCTTAACATGTTTCCTGTGTAGTACGAACTTGTTTTTATGTACCTCACTGGGAGACTTCAAAACCGCATCTCGGCTACTGATGATC